GATTCGCAAGGAATCTTACGAATCTTATTACGAAATTACTGTCTGTGAGAATATAAGAGAGAAAGAGAGTATTATTTATCGAGATACACCTGGACTAATTTACTTCGTCCAGTTTATACTCGACAAAGAGTCTGTGCAAGAGTCTGCAAGAAGTTATTATTAGTAAATTAGGGAGAACGTTTTCTCGCTTTTTTGTGATCGTACTATTAATAACACTGATCGAAAACGTTCTCGAATAGACGGACGAACTCTTCCGTACTCGAGGATTGTAATACTTAGGTGTATACATTTATCGGGCAACATCAGTTACGATTTTTTCGTGGCGTCGAACGGAGATTGGAAATTGGTGAAATCGTGTATCACGGAAGCATCTCGAATATAATATAACGCCGAACGAAATCCTCCTTGAATTTTCTCCTGGAAGGTTTCTAGGGACGTTTGCGGAACGTTGGAGTTCGGATAAAGAGAAGTTTGGAAGAGATTTTGAAAAATCCTGGAACCGAAGCGGCCACATCATGCCTCGACTTTTTAATCGCGACACACAACGCTCCAGACTTAACCATCATTTTTGAAACGAAGAAAGAAAGAAAAGGGAAAGTTCACTTGTACATGTCCACCCACACACAACACAACACACACATAAGTATACATAACCGGCCACGAATATTGTCCTTCTAATTTTTAGGAAGGAACGATACATAGTATATATATATATATATATAAAATACGATTAATTACGAATAATAGAAAAAAAGGAGGAAAATCGAGGCAGCGGGGGAACGCTTCCGGCGTGAAAATAGCAAAAGACATGTTAGCATTTTCTTTTTCCTTATTATCCCATATCGACGCAAGACACAAAGTTCTTGTTATACACTTTTAGATACACATACGCCACGTCGTATATTACATTATTCTCTTTTTTCTTTTTCGCGAATCCAACAAACACCACAATCCTCTATTATACCCATTCTAATCTCGTAGCGTACCGCCCGTACCCTAGGTCCTGAGATGTAAGAGAAACACACGCATACGTTATTTACGGTTACCAGTAGTCCGGCTTAGATGGTACAAGCCTCAGAATCATGCTGGATCTTGACGAACGCCGTGTTATAATCTTCAATTCGTTGATTCTAAAGTAATTGGATGATGGTGTTTCATATTCGATGGTTCTTTTTTAAAAAAGCACATTCACAAAGGTATTTTGTTTGCTTTTTTTATTAAATTTAAATTAAGTCAAAATTTCAATGATACACAAAATTGAATGTTTAATAT